ATTTTGTGTTTGAAGTTTTTGAGCCTATAGAATGGTTATTTCAAAGAAAACAATAGTTTAGTTTTTATCAATTGTCATTTAAAAAACAATTTTTATTAATTGTATTTTATATGAAAGGTGTTTATACTATCAGAACCACTCTAAATGAAAAACAAATTAATTTAAAATGCCACTAATGTGAATTTGGGTTACACTTTAACACCATCCTTTAATCTACGTTCAAGACTAAAATCAACAACATCAATTTCATTCCTCAAGTGAATAAAATGTTCAGTTTCGATAGCTTTAGTCAGAACATCTGCAAGTTGCTTCCGAGTGCTACAATGGACAACTTCAAACACTTCATTCTGATCCTGATTGCGTAGAAAATATAACTTCATGTCAATGTGTTTGCTCCTTCCATGCAGCACTTGATTCTTGGCAAGGCTTATAGCTGATTTGTTGTCAATCATTAACTTCACAAGCTTGCTCACTTTGACCTTCTCAATGAACCTACCAGCTATTTGAAAATTGTAACATCTACATCATCACCCTCAACATCAGAATCCAACTTGTGATTTGTTTCAGCAGGTGTGACTACAGACTTGCAATTTATTAGCTCAAATCTCTTCAGAAGCTCAAGTTCATATTTCAACTTATGCAAAATTATACCCTTACAAGAGTACACAATATTCATTCCTAAAAAATATACCATTTCTTAGACCAATCATCTCAAACTCATTCATCAACACCTTCTTGAATTTGACTATCTCATCTGAACAACTCTTTGTTAGCCATATGTCATCAATATAGAGACACACTAGAATCATATTGCTATCAGATGTATGCTGAGCATAAAAACCATACTCTATCTCACATTTTTTGAATCCTTGAAGCTTGAAAAATAATCAGTTTTCAGATTCCAAGCTCTAGAAGCTTGTTTCAGTCCATACAAGGCTTTATGTAACTTGTAAATCATCTATTCCTGATTTTTGTTTTCACAAATCCATGAGGTTATGACACATAAACTTCCTCTTGTAAAGGGTCATTCGTAAATGCAAATTTCACATCTAAATGCATTAGAGGTCAATTCTATTAGCATCTAAAGCAATCGTCAATATGATTGTTTCATGCTTAGTTCCAGATGTAAACACTTCAAAGTAATCTAACCTTGCTTTGTGTTTGTCAATTGATCCATCCGCCTTCAGTTTTAACTTTTAAACCCATCTCACGCCGATGGCTTTCTTGTTCTTTGGAAGTTCAGTCAATTCCCAAGTCTTGTTTCTTTCTATAGCCTTAAGTTCTTCTTTCATGGCCTTCAACCACGCTTTCTTCTTGAGAGCTTCTTCAGTACTATCTGGTTAGTGTCTACCAACATGGAACACTGAATGACTTTCCCTTTAGAGACTATCTTAATATCTTGCAACATTTCATATAATGCAAATATTCTTGGTATTTGTCGGAGTTTTTGTAATCTCTGAATTTGTTCAAAAAAAATTTCAGATGCTGGACTACCTTTAGAGGCATGATTACCACCAGAGTCTGGATTAAATCAAATTCACCTTCAGAGTCAAACTCATCTTCAGACTCGTCTTCAGCATCAGAATCACCTTCAGACTTTGACTCCTCTTCAGAGCCAAAATCTTCTTCAGAGGAAGACTCACCTTCAAAGTCAGACTCTCCTTCAAAGTTAGAAATATCTTCAAAAGTTAACTCAAGTGCTAACACTGCACCTGAGTTGGATTGAGACTTGTTCCAATCCCATGTTTTTGTTTCCATCACAATGACATCTCTGCTGAATTCCACATTGTTAGTGAGTCGACAATAAAGCTTATAAGCACAAGTACTGTGGTACCCAATCAGTAACATCAATTTGCTTCTATCATCGAGTTTTATTCTAGTAGCACCTGAAACATGTTTGTAAAAAACATAACCATATTCTCTAAAATGACTCACACTTTTCTTATCTTCAGTCCACTTCTCAAAAAGGAACAATTTCCTTTAGTTTCTTGGTTGGACACCTGTTGAGCACATATGTTGCAGTGGCAATAGCTTCTCCCCACAAGGTGCGATAGAGCTTCTTCTCCTTCAGCATATTCCTTTGTCATATCAAGTAAAGTCATGTTTCCTCTTTCATCAAGTCCACTGTGTTGTGGAGTACATAGAGCAGTCACCTCATGTTCACCTATATTCTCTTCACAAAACCTTTTAACCTATGATGAGTTGTACTCACCTCCACCATCAGTTCTGAAAACTTTCACATTCTGACCACTTTGTCTTTCATCCTTCACCTTGAATTTCTAAAACTCAGCAAACACCTCATCCTTAAACTTGATGAGTGCTACCCATGTCATTCTTGTGAACTCGTATATAAATGACACAAAGTATCCATTTCCACCAAGTGAAGGTACTTTAAATGGTCCACATACTTCAGAGTGCACTACTCTTAAAGCATGTTTTACTCTTAGATATACTTTTGATGCAAATGACAATATAAGTTGCTTTCCTTTCATGCATATCTCACATGACTTCTCAGGCTTCCCAATCTTACGAATGCCATGTACTAACTTCCTATAACTTAGAAACCCTAAGCTTATGAAGTTCAAACACCCCAATCTCTTGTGCCACAACTCACTGTCACCTTTAACACCTTATATACTAAGGCATTTTATTTCAGCTTATTCCACATTCAATTTGAATTTTATGTTCCTTCCCTGTTCAGATTACATAATCAGCTTCAGATTAAAATCATACAACTTCAAGAGATTGTCCTTCATTAGCTGACCTACACTCATCAGATTGCTCATCATGCCAGAAACATACCAAATATCCTTGATCAAAATAGTTTTTCCAGTCTCCACTCTAACTTTGATATTTCCTATTCCTTTAGCATTCAGATACTTATCATTAGCGCATCTAATCTTTGTCCTCTTTCTAGAGTCAAAATCAATCATCTATTATTTGTTTCCAGTTAAGTGATTTGAGCAGGCAATGTCCATATACCATCCGTATACCAAATATATATCATCAGATTCAGAAGCCATCAGTAGCACATGTTCATCATCAGATTCTCCTCTGCCTATATTTGCTTCTTCTGATTTTCTTTCCTTGTTTGACCAACAGCCAGCAGTAAAGTGGTCAAACTTCTTACAATAGTAGCATTGAACATTCTTCTTGTCAAATTTATCCTTTCCTTTTTTATGTTTCTTCTCATCAGAGTTAGAGGCTTCTGACTTCTGATAACCATTATCATGTCTCTTGACCTATGACCAAGACTGCTTCTGATTCTTCTTACCAGAAGATGCTTTCAGAGTCTGCTCTACCCCTCTTTCGAGTTTTTTCAATCAGACGCAAGTCTTATACTTCTAGACTACTCTGCAGCTCTTCAATTCTCATGGTGTTGAGGTTCTTACAGTGTTCAATTGCTACAACAATGTAATCAAACTAGGAAGTAAATATCTCAATACCTTTTCAATGATTACTTGTTCAGAGAGAGTTTCTCCACAAGATTTCATCTCATTTGTGATCAGAATTGCTCTAGAATTATAATCAGGTACATTCTCATTATTCTTCATGTTGAAATTCTCATACTACTTACGTAAATACTGAAGTTTCACCTTTTCCACTGATGCATCACCGTCGTAGCATCGTACTAGTGTGTCCCACACAGCCTTTCCGGTCGTTTAATCAACGATCATTTCAAACATATTTGTGTCCGCACACTGATGGATATAGAATAATGCCTTATTATCATTCTTCCTTGTTTCTCTATGCACATTTCTCTGTGCTTTAGTTGCATATGTTGCAACCGCCGTGTAACTATCATTGATGAGATCAAGAATATGTTGAGCACCAAACAACACACACATTTGAATCATCCATCTTTTCCAATTCTTTCCATTAGAGAATGGAAACTTTGTGTTTAAGCTACCTTTTGCGCTATTCATCTTCGCTATTGTGCAAATTCACTCAAAAACTCACTAGCAGGCGTGTCTCCTAATCCCTCAGAATCAAGAAATGTGACTGTTTTGATTCAGATCTTCAATTTACTATGAATTGAATGAGTATAATCAATCGCACACGCTCACGTACACTTGTGTTTCCTGTTCCTGAATCTGAATCGGAGTTGTAGACACCACTGTTATGGTCAATTCAGGGGGTCCACACAAGAGAGCATTTTTACTTTGGGGCATTCCTTTTATGAACAACACACCTTTGTGAAAGACACACCACATACTCACTCAAAACCTTAAGGTGATAGTGTGTAAGTTCTCCCACTTATAAAATATTTTTAACCTAAAGAATTACATATTTAACATTTTTTTAATCTAATAGTTTGAATTGCACCCGAGAAACAACTATATAGAGAAAATCAGCCGGAGATCTATATCCATGCGCAAACTTGGAAAGGTATCTGCACACAAAAAGTATGTTCTTCTAGTTAAATTACTTTAGTCATTCACCAAGTTTGGTTATGCTAATTTTTCCATTATGTAATCTACTTATTTGGTCCTTTCGGTTTAGTACTTGACTGGAGAGGCCCTGGCACGTAATCTCTTTTTTCTAGTCCCCTGCCCTTGAAATAATCGACCATTGTATGCTAAATCACTAGAGCAAATAGGAAGAGCAGTTCTTACCGAAGTTAATTTTCGCTTTAAGCCTCAACACTTCCGGCCATGTTTACGTTCTCAACATTTTGAAGTTTATCTAAAATATCATAGTTAAAAATCTTGATCCTGAAAATTTATTTAAAAAATTAAAACTTATTAGAAATATATAATCAAAGTCAAACTGCATAGTTCTTGAAAATATTTAATATTTCCGCTAATGCATTTATAACTGATTTGTTGAACCTTTGATGTGTAGTGTGATACTACTTAGAAAGTTGGTCGAACACAACTAAAATAAAAATCATTATCAAATGTAAAACTTGGAAATTGGAATGACTTCTAGCAAAGCTCTACAATAATATGCTTAACCACATCCACATTGAAACAAATTTAATACATAGATTTATTCTATCAATGCATATAAATCATTTCTTCATATTTGCATTCTCTTATTGCAATTTCCATTACTTGACCAGAGTTAGACTGCAACACATCACAACACTGCCTTCTTAGACTCTGCAACTGAATACAAAAGTATAATTTTATAAATTAGCATTACTAATCACCAAATTAAAAATTAAGAATTAAGATTCATATAAAGCATAATACCTGTTTAGTGTTTAGGTCTAACTTATTTGCGACCACTTTAACCACCTCCAAATTCTTCAATGATATCGTATCGTTGGGACAATGTTGAAAAGATTTTGTATAGTTGCTAATAATACCGTCTTTATCAGAAGATACATTGTTTAGATAGAAAATTGCAGGTCTTTCACAAGGATCCGGATGAATTTTTGTTGTACTAAATGTATATATTCCAGCATAAGGCAATTTTTTCCTCCATGGTTTGAATGTTTCTCGAACTCTCAGAATATCTGGTAAAAGTTCATTGTTTTGGAATATTTGAACAGCATAGCCCCATGATATTGAAATCGTCCGCGAAGATTGTTTATCGTAACAAACTGTCTGTTGTAGGATCCTCAGTGAATCAACATTTGCAGCTTCAAATAAATGTTTCAGTGATTCTGAAGCTGTCATTTGAGGAAAGATTGGTTCAACCAGATCCGGATGATGTAAAGATAACACCAGACTTAATGGATGTGCAGCCAATAATCCAAAGATATTTCCGCTTAAATCAACCTATAATCCAATTTCATATAATCACATTTATATAAGTGATTATTACTATCACAGGAATCGCAAAACAAATATTCAATAAATAAAAAAGTTATTATTAGTACCTGATGAAAACCAGGTTCATATGTTAATCCAACACCAAGTTCTGCTATGCAAGAGAACACCCTGGCATCACTTCCATAAAGATGAGAATATCTTTCAATACAAGAATCAAAAACTCCAGATAAAACGTTTGCTAAAGAAGCACTTATAGCAAAACCACCTCCGCCAAAAGCCATTCCAAAACCAAAAGTATGAGACCCTTCATAATTCTCAGAATAAGCACCAACATAGTACCAAAGCCTGTGATCATATTTAGAAAGAGTCTTAGCAAGATTCTCAGGAAAGAAAATTGTGTCATCGTCACCAAAGACATACCACCTAACATTTGAATGATTATTCAATCCAACAATCTCTTTCACAACACGCGCCACGCGAATTGCTGATCTTAAACCGCGTTTATAAGTGTAACGAAACTTTGAAGTGTCTTCAGAGACACAAAGAGGAGGAACAAAATCATCACTGTCATTTTCTTCGGGTGGAAGATTATCCACAAAAACACAACCCTTAATTTTTTTGTTCCACCAAAGTTTGACATATTGTTTCCTTTTAGGCCATGAATTTCCAGTTGAAGCGATTCCAAATACAAGATGATTAGCATCGGTTGGATCAGATTCGGCAGCTTGAGTTGAAGAACGACATATGTTTGGTATTGCTATCTTTGATAATGTAAAGAATAGCATGGAAATAAACATAAAGAGACAAATTGCACAGAATGAAGATGAGACTGGAATTAGTTTGGTGAAAGGTTTGGTTTTGAGTAATGATTTCATGGTTAACAAGGGTGATGAATGAGAATGAAGATTATAAAATGTTAGATATACAAGGCTGAATTATACAATTATGTGTGAAGTGTGATACCAAAAATTGCGGCGTAAGAAACACAGACAGTGGCATCTCAGTGGCAACAAAGTCAACCATCTACATTGGATATGCTTGCATAGGCATTTTTAAGTCTTGCTCTTGCTCATTGCCATCTATTCCAGGTTAATGAAAATTGAGTACTTTGTTTTACAAGTTTCATGAAACTGAATTAGTTTATATTTTTATAATTAATAGTTTTAAGATGCTTAAATTTATGCATGTGTCACTAAGTAGAATAGTTGATAACTAAAGGTGTTGATATGGGTTTGACTTCACAAACTTTGAATTTTGGTGACTTTGTAACTTATCTTCCATCTCTTTCTAAAGGAACCAATATTTTTTAACGTATAATTTATTTTAATTATTCTTTTATCTTTTGTATTTGTTAAAACTCACAGGAATGCGTGGTTTCTATATGCAAGTAGATGATACTCAGAGTCCTTATAGTTAAGGTGGTTTCTATATGCAAGTAGATGATACTCAGAGTCCTTATAGTTAAGGGTAGTTAGCGCTTCCACACAACTGCAAGAGATCCCATTTGGTGATGTTTATAGTGGTAAAGAATTGTCAGCTCACGTAAGGTGAGAGACTTTGTATTTATGTGTTATATATTGGGTATACTGATTTTTTTTTTCCGTTAGGGAATTTATAGATGCCTTTGAGCCTAGGTTTCATGAAAGTCTAAGAGATGGTAACAGCTTCCACAAGACAAGAGAAAATTGACTGCCTACTTTTCAAGGAGCTGTGGTTTGACTTCGTCCATTTGGTTTTAATGCCTGAATAATGATATTGTGCACATCTTTCCCAGGGGCGAGTCACCTATGACACACAAAGGTCTTGCCGTGACGATGCTTTGTAGGGTGGAGACCCTCGGGTCGCCTCTATTTGAGATTCTCATAAATATATTACTGCATAGTCCCTAAAGTACGAGGATTTATAAAGCGTGAAGTGTTTTTAGACTATTCTCAGCTTGAGCTTTGTGGTAGGGGGTGATTCCTTTAAATGAAGGCGACACTTTCAATGGAAAGCGAGTCCCTCAACCCAAGATGCAAGTCCCTTAGTTGAAAGCGTCTTTTATAATAGTGGGAAGCGAGTCCCTTAGTTGAAGGCGTCCATTTTAATGGTGGGAGGCAAGTCCCTCTGCCAAAATGGGTGAGTCCCTTGGTTTGGGGCGAGTCATCACTTCCATGCTAGATGTCAGCTGGGTAGTCGAGCGTCAGTGAGAGACATTAAGCTTTAATTGATTGATTTTAAAGACGTTAAAATGTCAGTCAGTTTATTTAAGCTTGAATGCTTAGTAAAGAGAGCACGGGTAGTATTTAATGCAAGTCATGATGGTTTTCCCATGGAAAATCACTCTAACCCTTTTGTCTTACACACATCTTCTATGTGTAAGAACTTTTCCAATTCTCGCGGCAGTTACTTCATTGATTGGATGTATTGTTTGTGTGATTGGACTTCTATAAAAGGAATTGATACATTACCCAAGGAAATATTTCACTCTTTTGTACCAGATTCTCCATTTTTGTTTTCTCAGAAGGAGAAAATACATAGGCTAAGGAAAAATTTTGGATGAGAAAAGACAAAAGGTTGTGACCTTTAATCTCTCTCCCAAGGAACAAACTTTGTTATTCCTGTTTTTTTTCCTTCTTCTTTCATGAAGCTGATGGCTAGGAAGAACATAGATTGTGTTCATTTTCGAGACATTATGTCCTTATATTCCAACTTTGACATGATCAGCATGTTTCATCATGGCATTAGGTTTTCCAATAGATGGTTTGAAGAGGATGTAAGCTTGGAACCGCGTTAAAAAATAATGAGAGCCAAAATGAACGTCGTTGGCGAGCCATCTTCCCCTTACTTTTATTTTCACCTACTCGTTATCCATGAGTTAGGGGTTCTGGTCCTAGTTACCTCATTTGAAGCAGAATTTTTAATGACTTTCAATGTCGCCCCTTTCTAAATCACCTATAAGGTATGGAGCATCCTTAGAGCCTTTTAGATAATTTGTTGTAATCCGAGCATCCCCCAACCATTTGGGTCTTCTTGTATATCTTTAACACAAAGATTCTTCCCAATATTCGCTGGATAACGTTGCGTGATCTTCCAGATAGGAGTTTGTTGGAAATTTACACAGATCCTTATGAGGATTGGAAAGATAGGTTTGTGCGTGTGAGGGGGTGAGGTGGGGTGTCTTTGGTACCCACAGAGACGAGGGGTGCCCCTTGTTTTTCTTTATTGTGGAAGTCGAATCATCAACTTATCAAAGGGATAAATCCAAGTGCTCTTGCCCCCTTTAAGCAAGAAATGATCCATATTTTATGTTCATCTAGACTTTGAGCTCTTGTACTCTAATTACCCAAGAATGAGAAAATGGTGATGGGATAGAGAAGTACTTGGAAAATATTTATTGCATGTCTTCTAATACAGACAGTTCAAAGGGAGAAACATTCTCGTATTATCCAAAAGTTATAGTTCAAGATGAACCTTTTCATAAGAAGCATCCAAGAACATCAAAAGGTGGTGAGGCTACTAAGAGATGGCTGTCGCAGATCTCTCCTAGTTTGAGGAGGTGAAGCATTTAAATCAATTGCTTGAGGAAGCTCTTAGTTCCACTAAAATTTTGGAGGGGAAGACCCTATCGCTCAAGGATGAGATAATGGCCACATTTGCCCATTTTTTAAAAGGGAGAAAAGACAAGTGACATTGTTCTACTGAGACCTAGAGTTGAGTCAAATGGACCTGTTTCAGGTGGTTCGTGATAATCTTCTGGTGGACGATGAGTAGCCCTCCGTACTTTAGCCTACTTATAATATCATTTTTTTGTAACATTTAAGTTTGTTTTTTACTTATGAATGACATTGTTATTTTCAGGACCTCTCTCTAGGATTGTCTTCTTGACTGATAATTAGGCGAAATGATTTGTTGCAAGGGGACCTAGGTAATTGGGTACAAGAAAAGGGAATGCCCACCATTCCTTTTGGAATTGTTGTATTATCGATGGAGTGGTTTTGATCGCCTCTGGAGGGACCAATATTTGTGGCTGCCCCTAGGGGAGGTAAGGAATCCCTTCATGAGGAATCAACATTTTGATTGCCTCTATGGAAGGCAAGGATCCTTTATTAGGGTCTAACATATGTTAGCCTCTAAGGGCGAGAAGGATCCTTCGTGAGGATCCATCGTTTGTTTTCCTATAAGGGATACAAGGATCCCTCTTAAGGATACAATGCTTGATTGCCTCTAAGGGTGGAAAGGATATATCATAAGGATCCAGTGTTTTATTGCCTCTAAGGGTGGAAAGGATCCTTCACAATGATTCAAAGTTTGTTTGCCTTTATGGGAGGCAAGAATCTTTCATGAGTGTCCATAATTTGTTTTCCTATAAAGGAAGCAACAATCCCTTATAAAGATCCAACATTTTATTGTCCATAAGGGCAGAAAAGATCCCTCTTAAGGATCCATCATTTTATTGCCTCTAAGGGCGACAAGGATCCTTCATGAGGATCCAGTGTTTGTTTGTCTCTAAGGGATGCAAGGATCCATTTTAAGGATCCAACATATTATTGCCTCTAAAGGTAGCAAGGATCCTTCTTAAGGATCCAATATTTTATTGCCTCTAAAAGTGACAAGGATCCTTCTTACGGATCTAGCAATTTATTGCTTCTATGGGCAATCTTCTTCAAATTAGGTTTCACGCAAAATGGATGGGTGGCAAAGCAAATTCTTAAAAATAAAATAATGAGACGCCTCACTAAAAATCCTTTCCCCCCGTGAGGTATAAAGGGAAAAAGTGTGTGCCCTAGAAAAATAACATGTCCTTACAAGAGGCAGAGACATAGCGGTCGCCTAATAAGAAAAATGGTAAAATAATTAAACCATGGTAAACAAACAAATGTCAATTGAGAAAATGATGCCAGAGTGCATTCCTTATGGGCTTTCAATTTTCACTCTCCTCGCTAGTCTGAGGAGGAGCCTATTCGTTATTGTGAGCTCCTTTTGACAGCTTTGTTCCTGATCTAACTTTTGTGGTGTTCACCCCAAGGTTAGTACCCTTTTGAGCTTGAGACTCTCCATGTAACACTTCCAGGAGATTTCCCGATCTCCTTGGATAACTCCTACCCGCACGTTAGATATCAAGTATTTCATGCACAAATACAAAGTGGATAGGGCAGCGCCGAACTGATTAAAAGATGGACGCCCTATAATAATATTGCAAGAATAGGGGGTACCAAGGAGTAGGTACATGACTTTCGTCTCCTTGGCTTGTTGTTGCGTCTCGAAGGTGGTTCTTAGCGTTATGTATCGTTTCACTTGCATTTACTCCTTGGAGAATCAAACTAGCGATCCCTTAAAGGGTTGTATGTCATCGGGTCGAGGCTTATCTTCATAAAAGAATCATCGTAAAAAGTATCAATGATACTACTCTGGCCTACAAGAACTATTTTGACCACTCATTAATCCCACATAACATTGATGACCATGGGATCAACACTGTACGGGTGGTTACCGATGACATCTTTCTCGAAGAAGTCGATCTAATTTCTAGTATCGTTGGGTTGTCTTCATCTGAATCCTAAGAGAGATCTTTTATATTTAGTATTTGGAAGGCATACCTTCTTCGGGTGGAGCTAATCTATCTGCCCCTGATGAATCCTTATGCGATGGTGTTAAGGGTGTCACATAAAACTTTATTTTTCTCTCTAGAATACGCCTTCATTCCTTTTCTTCATATCAAGTTTCACATGTCCTCTCTCCTATGGAAGTTGGATCCACCTGACCCTTAGAAGGATTCACCCTTAACATACATCTTGAGGTGTCCCTCCTATATCAGTCGCTCGATTTCCTTCTTGAGTTGATAGTAGTCCTTGATGTAATGTCCTTTAACTTTATGGAATTTAAACTATCTTCC